TATCTAGGGTGAAACAGATCACCAGCCCAGGTTGGATGCATGAGACAAGTGCTCAGGCCTGGTGCACTGGGAAGACCCAGAGGGACGGGGTGGAGAGGGAGGTGGGAGGGGGGACCGGGATGGGGAATGCATGTAAATCCATGGCTAATTCATTTCAATGTATAACAAAAACCACTGCAATGTTGTAAAGTAATTAGCCTCCAACAAATAAAAATAAATGGAAGAAAAAAAAAAAAGAAATGAAATCCTTATCCTAGGTATTTAGGTATAACTGAACTGAGTAGTGGGCAAAGAGAAGACAAGTTGTTTTATATAAGAATATAGTAGTCCCACATCCTTGAGGACCTATGAACACATCACAGAAATTAGTGACATGCTAATTTCCCTCTAAGAACATGTGGTGGCTACAGTCATCACACGACATGCATTATCATTCACAGGTAGAAACAGTAACATTTGTGAATCAGATATCCCATCTACAAACTGACATACAGAATCTGCAGGATTGAAAAGAACATCTTTCAAAGGCTTTTTAAAAAAGCATCTTCCTCTCATTTTCCCCTAAACCCACTGAAGTAAACAAAGCAGTATGTCTCATTCACTTACTTTTAGGGCTTCAATTTTCCATACCTGATAGGCTATATATTCCCTGACAGATCAGTTGGTAAAGAATCCGCCTGTAAGGCAGGAGACGCCGGTTCATTTCCTGGATCAGGAAGATCCCCTGGAGAAGGGAAAGGCTACCCACTCTAGTATTCTGGCCTGGAGAATTCTATGGACTATATAGTCCAGGGGTTGCACAGAGTCAGATGGGACAGTGCAACTTTCACTTTCATTAATCAACCTATAAATCAAGCTATTTGCAAGTGGGCTGGTTATACCCATGGAATTTCAAATGTGACACTTTAAAACAGAAACCATCTTATTCTAAACCATCTAGCCAGCTAACTCATGCATATCTTCATAACAATGTAAGTCATCATTACACTTCCTTAACTCTTTTGGAACACTTGTTAAGAATGAAGAACAAAAAGAAACACTTTTCAGCAATCCATTTGCAGATCAAGGGCTTGTTTGTTGTCAGGTTCATGTAGTTTCCTCATAGAAGAGCCTCTCTCTCCATATCATGTAGGTCTACACTTCTACAAACAAGGCCCCCTACTAGATGCTAGGGATACAAAGACTAAAGCAGTGTCTTTTTTCTTTTTTTGTCTGTAGGGGAAGGGAAGTAATTTCCTACTTGCAGGGGTATTATACCTTTTTTTACACAGTTAGATAATAAATATTTTTGGCTTGTTAGCTGTACAGTTTCTGTCCTAACTACTCATACAACTCTAATACTGAAGTAGGAATGCAGCCCTAGACAGAATGAATGGGCATGGCTGTGTTCCAATGAAACTATTTACAAAAACAGGTGGCAACTCCTGAGAATATGACGAAAGCTATGGGTCCTTTCTCCCTAGAAAACTGCATTCAGACATGTAAGTTTAAACATTATTTCAGAGTTTTCATATGCTGCCTGAAAAAACACTATTAGTGGACCCTAGTTAAGAAGTTTAGGACCAAACAAATATATAGTCTTCCCTCAAGCCATAGTTACTCAAATCTTTCTGTATTATTCTAACCTTGGTTCCCTGGTCTTTGGTTCCAAATAGACTGAAAACAAAGGAGTAGTGGGTAAAAACACACAGAAAGTAAAAAAATTACTATAATCAGGCAAACTGGCAATAGCAAACAGTCATCCTGGTAAGAAATAGGAAAACTAGATAAAGCAGAATTCAAAAATACTATAGGCCACTTTATGTAAGTCTTGTACAAACAGATCCTGATGTTATCTATATAAATTATAGCCTTTGTAATAATGATCGGAATACAGGGAATTCTTTTAAAGACAGGAATTATTCTCCACAGGAGACACATAAACAGCCAGCCAACAAGCACAAGAAAAATTATTCAACATTATTAACCATCAAGGACGTGCAAATCAGAACCACAAGATACTTCATACCCACTAAAATGGCTAAAATCAAAGAGACAAACTATGACAAGTTGTTAGTGAGGATGTAGACAAAGTGAGATCCTCATACAGTGCTGGTGAGAATATAAAATGGTACAGCTGCTATGGACAACAGTTTGGCAGTTCAACATCAAAACAGAGACCATTCAAGCCAACAGTTCACTTCAAGGCATATACCCAAAAACCAAAACTCTATGTCCACACAAATATCTGTACACCAGTGTTCATATCATTCACAATAACCCAAAAGGGTAAATAATTCAGATGTTCATCAACCAATAAGTAGATAAACAGAATTTCATATAACGAAATCTTATTTGACAATAAAATGAAGTGCTGATAGACACTACAATATAGATAAACCTTCAAAACACTGTATCAAGTAAAAGAAGCCAGACACAAAAGGTCATTGTATGATTCTGCTTGTATAAAATGCCCAAAATAGGCAAATAGATAGAAAGTAGATTTAGAAGTCTAAATAGAGATAAAAAGTAGATCTGCAGTTCCCAAGGGGCTGGGGATGGAGGGATAACGGGCACTGGGTTTCTTTTTAGGGTGAAGAAAATGACTTGAAATTAGACAGCAGCAACACTTGCACAATACCACTAAATATTCTAAAACCACTGAATTACACTTAAAAATCATGGATTTTATGGTATGTAAATTACATTTTAATGGTTATTTTAAAATAATAAAAAGACAGGAATTCAATATATTTGAGGAAGATTCTAATTTAAAAATACCAAGCCACTCATCTTTAAATCAAAATTAAAACAGCATTTATTTTAATACATTCCTTTAATACTGAGCACAATGTTTCACAAACCTGAGTAACATACAGAGCCTTATAACGATTTTGAGGATTTCCTATATTAAATTTTTTATGATTATGTACAAGCCAACTAGATATAAATTCATTTAAGTTTTATACAAATAAAGCTATAAAAGCAACCATTGACAAAAATATTAACAGAATACACTGGAGGTTTCCTGACACAAATTCTATTTGCTGTGTGAATGTAATTCAGGTTGCTATGGGTTTCTCTTGAGTTGAGCACGTTACCTATCATGCTTGTTGTATATCTGGATGACTCAATTCATCCCCTTCTATTATCCAAAGGGCTCCAAACCTTCATCTGAACAGCATGTTACGATCACATCACATAGCTTTCTCTTGGAAGCAGATGCATCGTTTATGTATCAAGATCAGACTGGGTTCTTATCTCATGACTCTGAGATAACTAAAGCAGCACTACTTGGTGCCAACTGTAAACATAAATGTAGGGCCTGAAATTTTATGGCTGTTATCTAAAAGGCAGCAAGTTGGATGATTTAGAACTTTTTTTGTTCTTCAGATCATGAAAGAAATCTTTAAATTCTCATTGAGAATTTATGGACCCTCCCTTCCCAACTTTACTCTAAGAAGACAAGTTTTAAAAATAATGGGATAACTTAAATTGTGTTTCACTGATTCTAAAAATTGTAAAACTCCCCCCATTTTAACATCCCCAAAACTGGGATGTATATTATAACTGATGGCATGTCATAGTTTTAATTTTCAGTGTTTTTTCCTTTCTTACTATCTCATAAAATAATGTTGCATGTTTCAATTGTTGCTACCTTGGATTTCATGAAATATAGTAGTAGGTGTTCCATGAATGTGCTCAGTCATGTCCAACTCTCTGTGACCCCATGGACTGTAGGCCACCAGGCTCTTCTGTCCATGGAATTTTCCAGGCAAGAATACTGGAGTGGGTTACCATTTCTTTCTTCAATTCCATGAACAGTAGATGAAATAAGCGGCAGATTTAAATATATATAATAATAGATCAAGTAAATAATTAAAAAAATAACAGTAACAAAGAAACAAACTTAAAAGGGCACAACCTCACTTATCTGGAGAATCTGTTACACAATATAAGAATAAAAAAATTCTACTTGAGAGTAAGCAGGCTTACATTCTTTATGAGAAGAATTAATGTAAAAATAATTATTTCATCAAAACAAATTTTACTCTAATTGGCACCCCCCCATTTGTATTAAGCCCACCAAAATGGGGAGAAAAGTGAAGGTTCTGAGCTAATTAAAGTTAGATTTAAATTTTCCCTGGTCCAAGTAAACCCAAGCTCCATGAAATACATACTTCCTAATTCATTGAAACTAATTCCTTGACTATTAAAATGGGATTCATTGTAAAAATAATTAGCCTCCAACTAAAATAAATGAAAAAATAAATAAATAAATAAAATGGGATTCATGCTATCTACCTCAGGGTTCTTGAGAAATGAAATTTAAATATGTATAAAGCCACCTAGTCCCACAGAACAAATCAAAAACCAAAAACAAAGAAAAAACATGTTCTGCCTCCTTTGTGAAGACAGTTTTAGAAGCATACCAACAGAGATATTCATAAATGACTTTCAATTGATGAAAAAACTTGGTAGCAATCAGAAATACAAATACTATCTTGAATAAAAGCTTTTTATACATGCTTCCCAGGTGGCGCTAGCGGTAAAGAACCTGCCTGCCAATGCAGGAGTTGAAAGAGATCAGGTGTAATCCCTGGGTTGGGAAGATCCCTTGGAGGAGGGCATGGCAACCCACTCCAGTATTCTTATTTGGAGAATCCCATGGACAGAAGAGCCTGGTGGGCTATAGTCCAAAGGATCATAAAGAGTCGGATGTGACTGAAGCAACTTAGCATGCAAAGCATAGGCTCTGAAGCAGAAGCATATGTCATAAGCAAGTTACAGTCATAAAGTCTCTTTAGATTACTCAAGTACCCAGAACTGATCCCGTATCAACCAACCTTGTCAGCTGCATTCACACACATAATAGATACTGCCTTTGAATAAGAAAATAACAAACCTAGTACATATTAAATTTTTAATTCAATAATATTCATTTAGTACAATTTCATTTCAAATAAACTTCATTTTATACCTTGAACTCTTGATCAGTTAAGAACACACTTAAAATTAAATGCAAATCCTAAATTAATACTTTAAAACTATTTTGAATTAACATTCAAGCATCTTATATTACCTTGTAAAATGTCTGCCATTAGCATGTTTCTCCGTTATCACCGTATTCTTATCAAAACTAGAATCTGAAGAATTCTGTGCATTTTTTCTCAAGGACCTTAAAGTACGTGTCTGGTGGTAGGTTTCAACTTCCTTAACTGTAGACCCATCCTTCAAAAAAAAATTTAAAAAGCCATTTAAGTTTTTCTTCAGTCAAATATCCCAGTTAAACTCCTAAGACTTCTCTCTGATTAAAAAGTTTGTAACAACTGCTTTTGGTACAGTACTACTTTTGCATCTCTGCAAGAAAACTAAAATAGTTAATATCTAGAATAATCATTTTATGATAAACAAGTATGAGTGATGTCTACATGGTGGCTAATATAAGATTTATTAATGGTTTATAGTTCTACTTCATAACAAGTGGTCCAGAGTGAAATTTTCTACCGCTGATACAAAGTTGTAATAGTTCATAACAGTAAGTACGCCTCCTTTTTAAGGCTACAGAAATTAGAAAGATACACTCACAAACCATGGAACCACTGGCGGCAACTTTAAAATAACCAGACAATCAGAACTGCAATTTTGGCTTCAATGACAAAAAGGAGTCATTGCTATCTCACACAGTTTCAGTCAGATAATGTAAAAATGAATTAAAGACTGTTTACATATGTTGGTTGTTCAGTTATTATTAAGTCGTGTCTGACTCTTTATGACCCCATGGACCCTCCAGGCTCCACTATCCATGAGGTTCTCCAGACAAGAATACTGGAGTGGGCTGCCATTTCCTTCTCCATTAAATATGCTAATTTCTTGTAAAAACCATAGAGCTCCACGTAACTTTGTTTTTGCTCAATACTCTCTAAGTTAGTGGGTTGGCTTTATAAGCTACAGAAGCTCTGTCATAAAGTGTTCAAGATTTCATACACGCCTCTTAGAAATCACATACAGGTGTTTTCACATTAGAAGAGAAGCAAATGTACCTAACAACTCTATAATCCTAAACTTTACTACTCTAAAAATTTATAATTTTAGAAAAACAGGCATTTTTTTTTAAATGAAACATCATTCCCCCGATGCTTCTTAGGCTGGCTTTACCTGGTCATTTCATTATGTTTTATTAGGATATTTTGTCATTTAATTTTGTTTCAGGAAGAATATGACTGGCTCACAAGTAAGAATATTTATATCATAAGGACCTGTGTAACAAACTGACATGCTCTTAAAGGCATGAGAGGACAAGTTAAAAAAAATTAAGTTCTTCATAAGATATTAAATGATATGCACTTTTATCAATGTGCCCATATTTCAAGATGCTTGAAAAAAGAACACCTATACATTTAGATAAGAGCATTATTTTTAAAATGAATACCTATACCTTATATGGATGTGGTGTAACATAAGACTCCAAAAAAATTGTTTAACAGTATCTATTTTCAGTTTCTCAACTTCCACATGTACTTTTTCTTAAAATGGATCTAAGAAGACATCCTAACACAAGGCATCCTCTTAAATTTACCTTTCTCCCATTTTACAAAAGAAAATCGTTATCTCTCACTCATTCTGAATCCTACTATTATATAGGGGCTGCTTCAAGGCATTAAAAATCTTTGAAGAGCCAAACAAAGAAAAACACTAATGTAGGTGTTAAGAAAATGAATGACTATGCTAGGCAACAAATCCTTTCCTTTGTTAGATGATTCCCAATTCTTCGCTTTTAACAAAATTGAAAGGAGACCTAATCAAGCTAAGAGACCATTAAAAATGTTTGGCAAGTGATTTTCTGCACATAAGCCAGAAACACTGAGTGGCACTGCTAACAAAACTCCTTTCATTACTATCTATTTATTTATATGAACAATGTTTCTCAGCACTTACCTTTACAAAAACAATTAAACAAGATGCCAAAACACTGTCCTCAACAATAAATAAGATCTAGCCACAGATATATAAGCTAACTGGGTGGGTAGAGAGACTTCAACCACATGAAATCCTAATAAAAAATTACTTCCTATGTTCGATCATTTTAATCAAAATATTTTTTGTTGTTTTGATCAGTTGAGTATTAATTACGATAATTCAATACACAAAAATTTTGTTTCTTGGAGCTCTGTCATGGAAAAGTGGAAAAAATTCAAATTTTGTTTTTACAAGTGTGAAAGGATAATTAACAAATGACTTTCAAGCATGAAGACATATCAAGATAAAATGCTGTTGGTTAAGTGGATGGGAAATAAAAATTAAAAAAGAAAAGAATCAAGGTAAAATTTCTGGCTGTTAAAAGAGCTTATTTGTTAACTTTTAATGTTTCAAGACAGGTATCAAATAACTATGATTTTTAGATTCCAGGGGTTACTTATAAAAGTGTGATGTAATAGAGTTATTTTTTAATGTCAACTTTAAAAAAATGACAGAAATTATCTCCTTTTAACTATTTAAACTGGTGTGGGGATGGGGAGGACCTTAGATGGCAGCTTAAAAATGCAAGAGATTATAAAGCTAAAAAAATTTAAATACTCAGAAGAAAACATACGGAAAACTTTCATGATATTGGATTTGGCAACAATTTCTTAGGACACCAAAAGCACAGAAAACAAAAGAAAAAGGTAAGTTGGACTTCATCAAAATTAAAAAACTTTTTTACGAAGGACATTATTAATAAAGTAAAACGGAAACCCCTGGAACTGGAGAACGCATCTGCAAATCATGACAATGACAGAGGACTGATACCCACAATACATAAAGAAATTCTGCACTGTCACAACAACAGAAAGTTAAAAACAGGCAAAGGACTTGAATGGACATTTCTTCAAGGAATATACACAAACAGCCCATGTACACATGAAAAGAAGCTCAACATAACTAGTCATAAGGAAATGGAAATCAAACTCAATGAGGGATCACACTAATTAGGAAGGCTATTACCAGGAAAAAAAAAAAAAAAAGAGAGACAGAGAGACAAAGTAAGCATTGGCAAGAAAGTGAGGAAACTGGAACCCCTGTGTATACTGTGGAAACTCATACGGCAATTCTTCAAAAAAAACTAAGCACAGAATTACCACATCATCCAGCAATGCTGCTTTTGGGCATAATACTCCAAAAAAGTGAAAGCAGGGGCCTGAAGAGATATCTGAATGCTCCTGTCTATAGCAGCATATTCACAATAGCCAAACAGTGAAAGCAGAGTTCATCAACAAGTGAATGGATTAAAACGATAGGGAAAAAAAACAAAAAAGAACAGCTAGTACACACAATGAAATATTATACAGTCAAAAACAAAGGAAATTTTAACACATTGAAATAACACAAATGAATACTCTATGCTAAGTGAAATAAGTGAGTCACAGAAGAACAAATATTGTAGGTTTCTTCTTCTGCGGCTCCTTGCCAGGGGCTCAGAAGAGGAAAAATGGAGAGTTAGAGTGTGTGCATGTATTTTCTGTCCACTTGGGTGGGATCTCAGTTCTCTGACCAGGAATTCAACCTGGGCCACTGCAGTGAAAGTGCTGAGTTCAAACCGCTGGACCACCAGGGAATTCCAGGGAGGGTTAGTACTAAGTACAGAGTTTATTTTGGAAGATGAAAAATTCTGAAGAGCATGGTGATGGGTTACTGAATAATGTTACTATACTTAATGTTACAAAACTATATACTTAAAATGGCTAAAATGATAAATTTTGTTATTTATATTTTATTACAATAAAAAAAAGTAAATGTCACCATATTCCTGGGAATAAAAAAAAAAAAAAAAAGGTTTGTTTCCACAGAAAAAAAGCAGGGGAGTGCTAAATACTGGGAAAAAAAGATTCCCTGAGAAACTCAGAAGACTTAACCTTTAAGCGGTCTAAGTGAATCTGTGATTTGCAGAAATTGGCTTAGCTCATCGTCCCTAAGTACTAAGCATCAAGAAAGGCTCTCCTTAACAGCATGGAGAAAAAAACAAAACAAGTGTTTTGAGAATCATCTGTACCCGGGCATACACTGGGGAATTTAAAAGTATAACTTTCAAAAATGTTCTTTATAAAAGCAATATAAAAATAAAAGTAATATGTGCCTATTACAAATGGGAAAATTAAGAAATATACAACAATAAAACTATCACCCTCAATTTCAGTTATCCACAGATAGAAATGGGTTAACCTTTGGATACACAAACCATTCTTTTCCTATGTATACACATTCACACAATTTTAAAATTGAGCTAATATTATTTATGCTTTGTAACTGTTTTCTAGTGATACGATCATTTTCCCAAGTCATGAAGTATTATTCTAAAAATCTTTTTAGATGAATGAATAGTAATCCAGCCATTACATGAATCTCTTTAACAAAATGCATCATAGTTACTTTACAGGTGAAACCTGGCACACAGCAAGTGCTATATGCCTTGCAGCTATCAGTATTATAATCTTTTAACTGTCTTCCAAACTCCCAGATTTGTTGTCTATACCTCATCTTAAACACTATCTTAGCAGATCCCCGATCTAAAAGTTGCAACTTCTAAGCCTAAAATCAAGAGCCAGCCTAAAACTGATAAAAATGGACTATCTATTATTGTCACAAAAAAAGTATACTCTCTCAAATGCAGAGTAGGCAATGCCAGGGAGTAACATTCACCACATGTCAAAATCTATCCATGCCTCGAGATACTTCACTGAGTTGTGCATTTACCGTTATGTTGTGATATGCTTCAAGTTTTAAAAAATCTCACATGGGTTGTATATATCAGTGTCAAGTTTGGGTTATCTTTCCAGACTTCTAAATAAATGTACAATTAAAAAAACAACAACCATCAAGTACCTTCTACATACTACAGTGTGTTTATTTTACCTAATAACATACAGAATAAAATGTACACAACCTAACCCTACTACCCATCCTTAAATGTCTCTTCAGCATGAGAAACAATCCTAACTTTAATGAATTGAAGAGACTCAGATCTGTGAAAGCCCAGAAGGACAATGGCTAACCTGACTCCAAAAGAAAGGGGCATCCAAACTTATCGTTTAAGAAGATAAAATTAAAAAAAAACAGATTTAAAACAACAACAAAATATTTTCCAGGAACCCATACAGGTCAGGGGTAAAAAAATCCTTAAGCCCAGTTGAGTGAGATCATAAAAGCAAAATGTGGTTAATAGGTAACTTTATCTTTAGAACCTGAATGTCAACCTCCAAGCTCAGATGAAGAAAACTATAAGTTAATGAATATGAATAAATCCAACTATCTTCATGAAAAAAAAGAAGAAAAAAAAATCCAACTATCTTCAAAAAGAAATCTACTCCAAGAAATACTCTGTCAGTAAAAGCATGAATGAGACTAAGAAATACTCAAGTACAGTGAGAGTGGACCAAGGAAGTTTCTGAATTGCATGACTGACATAAAAAGCAAGCTATAATCAAATCAAATCAAATCCATTGAATGTAAAGTCCTATAATTAGAAAATATTTCAATCACAAGAGTATGTTTCATTTTTTTGTATTGGTGAACTTCCTCAGCATGAACTTCCTCAAGACCCAATCCCATGCTCACTAAATAACCCTCTGGTTACAATCTATCCTACCGAGGAATACTATGTTTCAAAAACGTGTAATAATCCCTACTGGAAATCCTAGCCTGGAGAAAAGATCTTTTCTACCCTATGATAACCAGCCTAACTGCTAACTGCTCCAACACCACATACCACTGACACTGCAAGACAATCAACAACAAAATATTTATTATGCACCTAATATGCTTGAGGTTCTAGGAGTATATACTGCTGAGCAAAAGTTCAAAATCCAAATCCCTATGGAGTTCCATTCCGATTTGGGGAGAGAAAAGAATATTTTAAAAGTAGGAAATTATACTATATTTAGAAGGTGGTAAGAGCTAGGGAACATACAACAGAGCAGAGCAGCCTGACAATGAGCAGTTTGCAATTTTCAGTAGGGTTGTTAGGACAAGGTAGTTAGCAAACACTTCAAACAGGCTACTTCATCCAGTTTCTACATGGGACTCGCAGCTCTACTTCTTCATATAAAGGTGAACTGAGCAAGTTATTTAAAGTCTGTGCTGCAGTCCTCTTCCCTGTTAAACAAGGATGCCTATCTTATAAAGTTATGAGGAGTGAGTTAATATTTGCAAGATTCTTGGAACATGTTAAGCACTGAGTTCTGAGTTGTTGCTTTTAATTTCAAAAAATGTAAAAGGTAAAGGAACATCTGATACAGATATCCAGGGAAAGAATATTCCCAATCCAAGGTAGAGCAAGTGCAAAGGCTCTGGGATTCAATGAGCAGCTAGGCCAAAGTGGCTGGAATAGACTGGGTTTTTCAAAGGGAAGAATGGAAGAGGATGTCATCATAAAGGGAAGGGGGCAAGGATGTATATAGCGCTGCTTCTCAACTTTTATTCTATTTAGATAGGGATTTTTGAGCAGAGTGATAAACTGTTACGACTTTTAAAAAGATCCCTCTGTAAGCTATACTGAGAACTCAGACTTTCAAGGGAGGAGGGCATTATATGTAAGGGTGGCAAATAGGGAGGCTAGTCAAGAATCTATGTTAATAACCCAAGGGAATTCACTGGTGGTGCAGTGGTTAGGACTCTGTGCCAGGGCCTAGTTTCAATCCCTGGTTCTAAGATGCCACAAGCCACCCAATGTGACAAAAAAAAAAAAAAATCTATTTTAATAATCCAGGCAAGAGATAACAGCTTGAATCAGCAAGGCAACACTAGAGCAGCTGAGAAGTCATCAGATTCTGAATATATTCTGAAAGTGAAGCCAACAGAATTTGCTAATATGAACTGAGAGAAGAGTAAAGGATGACTCTAAGGTTTTCAGCCTGAGAAACTTCAAAGAAAAAAAAAGTGCCCATTAAAGTTGACTGAGATCTTAACAGCTGACAATAACTGAGCCCTATGTATCAGCCAAGTGTCCAGGTAATCACCTTACATGCATGATCACATTTAATTCTCTTTATCCATGTGGTGGGTTTCACTCCCTTTCAAAAAGTACAGAAACATGCTGATATTGGTAAGCTGATTGGTAAAGAACATTTTTAAAAAATTAACTTCTTAATTGCTGAAGTATAGTTGATTTACAGCGTTGTGTTAATTTGCAGAGCAAAGTGACTCAGTTATACATAAACATACACATTCTTTTTCATATTATTTTCCATTATGGTTTATCACAGGAAGAACTAACAGTTGTTTTAAGCGCCTATATTACTTAACCACTACTCAATACATCATTATGGTCACAGGAACTGGCACTGTCCTGAAGATAATAAACACTCAATATTTACTGAAATTAATTAGTTCTTCTGAACAAAAGTTAGTAAGTCAAGTGACCAAGTTCACTGAAGAAGTGTCCAGCATCCCTAGATCTCTAACAACTTCAGCCTGTGACTGGGAAACAGATCCTGAAAGTCAGAAAGTTGTTTGGTTTTTCAATTCAGAATCACAATGTCAGAGACTGAATGGGCTCTTTCATTCCCCTCGGTTAAGAAATAACTCTGCTGAGGCCTCTACAAGAGATTTTGACAATTTCATATCGCGATCTCTCCCTTACCTGTGTTTTTCACTCTCTCCCACCGTACACACCTCGCCTCAGCTTCAGTCTGACTTACCAGTTCTAACCCTATCTCCCGTCCTGTTTTTCCTACCCCTATGACTACCCTTCGCTTCAGCAGAACTAGATTACTTCCTGCTGCCTTAACTTTGCTATGTACTGTTGCTTCCTCAATTACTGTTAACATTTTGCGAACGCGGTCTCCTCCATCTGTGCCTCTTTCAAGCAGCTAGGGGTGGCGGAGGGACTCTCTCCCTCGGACTTAATTAAATCTACCAATCAAACATCCCATCTGTACATCAGACCTAGGAGAAGAACTTCTTTCAAGACTATACTGCTCCAGCTCCATGGAAACCTACAGACCTTGTTCATAGCTGTTTAACATGAAAATAAGGGAAAGGGAACGGGTTATGGAAGCGGAAGATCCAAGTTCCAACTTTCGATCTCCCACTTCTCGAGTCCGTTTTTTCCATCAGTAAGATACGTAACTATCCATTCTCATGGTGCTGTTATGAGGCTTAAGTGAAGAAGACGTAAATGAAATGTCGCTCTCCATCCCTCCACGTTATGCAACCTGGTGTTATTCACTGCGTTCGGAGTAACGAACTTCTCTGGATCGTAAACGCAGGTCAGGGAACCTGAGTCACAATCTTTCTATCCCCTCGCGGCTCCTAAGACACTCGTTATGCACACAAGTAAGCGCTCGGTAAACGCGCGTGGCTCGCGATCGCTGCGAACCTAGGGCGGCAGCCTGGGCCATCGGTCCCCGAGGTGTGCGAGGTGGGGGGCGGGGCAAGCCGCTAACCAAGGTGGGGCCCCGATCTGCACTTCGGCTGCTGAGACCTCCGGTTTCCTCTAGAGTCAAATCAGGTTAACACACCCTCCCAACAGTCAGCCCTTCTCTCCACCCAACCCACACACCCCTTCGGGCTCCGATCCTAAGAAGCCTTCCATTTTACGTGTCCTTGACAAATACTTCTCCCAACCTATCCCCCCTCCTCTGCCCCAACCCAAGCCAACTGTCACTCGGATCCCACCGCCCACCCCCATCTCCCAAGGCCCGGCCGGGCAGCGGGCAGCCCCCCAGGCCCGGCCCCAGGGGCCCGCCCCAGGCCCGTACTCACGCCCGCGGCGGCCGCGGTGACGGCAGACTGCTCAGCGGCGCCGGCCGAGCGGAGCCGCCTCCGGCCGATCTGCTCCAAACTGAGGAATTCGCTGGACAGGTCCAGAGAGTCCGTGGCCGAGGCGGCGGGGTGGCTCTGCAGCTCTAGACTGCTGCGAAGGACCACCATCTTCTCTCCCTTCTCGCCCAGCCGTCCGCGGCAGGAGATCGACCAGACTTCGGACAACAACCGCTCACGCGCTTCCGCGCTCCGAATTCTGGCGCCACTCGCGCCGCGCCGCCGGTCGCAGCGCGCGCGCCCGGAATCCCTCCGCCACCAGTCCCGCCCACGCCGCCACCACTACTACGGCCGGCTCGAAACTTTCCTTTCCGTAGCGCGGAGGGCTTTGGGCCGAATTTGAGCAGGACCCACACCGACGGTATCAGGGACCCAAGGCAATGGTGACAGGAGACTGTTCACTCCTTTTTCTTAGATAATTTCGGCTCGCTGAGCTCGGCGGAGGGACACTGCGGGTAGCGAAGCGACATTCTGTTTGGAATTTTGGCGCGTGGACGCCGGCGGTGGTGGGGGGGGGGAAGGGAGGATCCCGGCCTTTCTGATTGGCTGGCGGGGCCTAGTGGCCCCTCCCCGCCCCTCCCGACACCCGCCCTCCGCTTCCCGCCACGCGGGATTCAAATGGAAAATGCGGAGTCCTTGACTGGGGCGGGAGAATGCACTTGACTTTGGCAGGTTTTGACTTTGCTTCTTAAGGACTCTTACTGACGACCCAGACGAGTTTAAGAGACAGAGAGCTAGAAACAAGCGGGTAGAGTATTATAGTTAAAAGCAGGTTCTGTAACCCAGCGCCACCCGTTCCCGCGATCTTGAGCAAAAGATCCGCCCCGCCTGGTCTTAAATCTCCTAATCTGTAAATTAACTCTAATTTTTAACACCTAAGGTTCTAAGATATTATTATGCCTTATATATAAATGTTGGCTACTATTCCAGAAGACAATAACTTATCTGAAAATAAAGCAGTTACACGACTACTTTGATAATAGCATGCTGAATGATCAGAATGTGAGCGGAGCCCTAGCAGAACAGAAACAAAAGCTATTTATTGATTTGGACGTCTGCGTTTCCTTAACTCGAGGTGTATTAAATATTTATTGAGCACCTATTACGTGCCAGGCAGTATTCTAAGCAGTCGGAATGCAGGTGTTAACAAAAAGCAAAAATGCCCTCGTGGAACTTAAATTCTGGTGAAAGGAAGACTAAATACATGATATGTTTGTTACAAGGTAGTAAGTGTTAACAGAGAAATGTGAAGTAGGGAAGGTGAATGGAAGCTGAGATTTTAAATAGCGATTAGAGAGAGTTTCATAAAGTTTAAGCAGAGGTCTAAAGGAGGTTATGTATATCTGGGAGAAGAGAGATTTAAGCAGAAGGGGGCGGGGGGGGGACTGCGGGCCAGTGAGATCAAAGAGGAAAATGCTGCTAGAAGCATATCCTGCAAGGCCTCAAAGGTTTTTTTTGCTTTTTATTATAAGTGAGATGAAAAGACATCACAGGGTTTGAACAGAGGAGTGACCTATTCGGACTTTTGGAAAGAATCCCTTTCGCTGCTGCCTTAAGAATGCAATATTGGGGACAAACTTATGTTTGTTTGTTTGTTTGTTTGTTTTTTAAAAGAAACTCAGTTTTAACTGGGTCTCCTGTATTTTTTGGTACATCTGGCAATTATACCTAGGAGGACACCGGATTATCCAGGCAACAGATGAAGTGACACAGACCAGAATGAGAGCCGTGGACGTAATGAGACATGGTCAAATACTACGCATATTTGGAAGAAAGAGCCAATTGAATTTGCTCATTAATTGGATTTAGGCATGAGGGAAAGAGGAGTCGAAGATTACCCCAGTATCTGGTTGCTTGTTTGCTTCAGCTAATGGCAAGATTAAGCTGTACTTAATTTAGAGAAAGCTATGGCTAAAGCAAGTTTGGAGGGAATATCTGAAATTCCTTTCCATTCACACCTAAGATACAGAGGTTATTAAATATTCAGCACTTAAAATTTGACCTTTTAAGAGCTTTTAGAAATGTATGCACTGTGATATTTACTACAGCATTATTTATAATGTCAAAAAGCAAAGAACAACTTGAATGGCCCTCAAAGGATCCTTGAGAAGACTGCGATACAGTCAGTAAGAATTGCAATGCAGGACTTCCCTGGTGGTCCAATGGCTAAGACTGTGTCCTCAATGCAGGGGGCCCAGGTTCGATCCTTTGTTAGGGATATAGATCCCACATGCCACGACTAAAGATCCTGTACACCATAACTAAGACTTGGTACAGCCAAATAAGTAAACATTTTTAAAAATTATGATGCAGCTGTGTTAATTACATGGAAAGTTGTGCATAATGCATTGTAACTTGTTAAGAAAGTACAAAGACTTATGTATCATACAATTCCATCTTTGTTTAAAAAAAAGGATATGTATATATTTGTATATTTGCATTGGAAAAAGTCCAAAAGAAACTACAACAAAATATTAATGGTTAGATTCTGGATGGCAATATTATGGTGGTTGTGTGTTTTAAATAAGCAATGAATAAAAATTTCAGAACACTAAGAGACAGAGGCAGCCAAATGGTTTTCTTTGTTCAACATTAAGAAATATCACACTTGCTTTAGCCTTTAGTTCATGTAGTGGGTGATATGTGTACCCCAACAGGATACATCCAAGTCCTAAACTCTGGCATCTGAAAACATGACCTAATTTGAAATAGGGCTTTTGCAGATGTAATTAGGATCTTGAAATGAGGTCATCCTGGATATATCAGTTCAGTTCAGTCGCTCAATCCGACTCTTTGCGATCCCATGAATTGCAGCATGCCAGGCCTCCCTGTCCATCACCTGAAGAAGGAATTCATGGGGCCAGGACTCCATCTCAGGCCTATCTGTGCCGATCATGCTCGGCTCCCTCTCCAGTGGACTCTGAACTCTCTGCTTAGTGCCTGTGGGAATGACAAAGGAAGGATAAGACCCCCTCCAGACAGGGGAATCTTGAAGATCACATCCAGGTTGCTCATTGCCTAAGAGGAAACATGCCGTAATCACCCCTGTCTCCGGACAGGTCATAAACATTTTCCGTATCTATCAGGATGTAATCACAGGCTTATTGATTATTAACTGGTTGGAATGTAACTGCAGGCTTATTGATTATTGACTGAACACATAACACGTGAATGATGGGGGTTATTGTAGTTGTATTTACCCTACCTTTGTTTATGTAAGTCTCAAGGGAATTGGGGTGGTGGGTTTGGACATGTACACATGGGGTATAAAAGATTTTCACAAATGCTGGTCGGGGTCCTTGGCTAACAGGAGACTCTGCCTTGGACCCACCGGTGTAATAAACTGTACTCCACTATCTGCAGTGTCCTTCTGAGTGAGTTTGTTTCCCGGAAAGCATGGCTATAACACACCAACTCCCGGAGTTTACTCAAACTCATGTCCATCAAGTCAGTGATGCCATCCAGCCATCTCATCCTCTGTCGTCCCCTTCTCCTCCTGCCCCCAATCCCTCCCAGCATCAGGGTCTTTTCCAATGAGTCAACTCTTCACATCAGGTGGCCAAAGTATTGGAGTTTCAGCTTCAGCATCAGTCNCTGTTTGTGCTATAATCCTCTTCTAATGATCAATTAATTCTTCCAACAACATGAAATGAGGTCCATTTGGCATGAAGTGGGCTTGGCAAATCAGTAGAGGCCTCTAAATAATAACCGTTTTTTTTTTTTCATGGTCACAAATCATCCCAGGAATAGACATCAAGTTCATCAGGGTGTAGTGTCTGGAATATATATATATATTTTTTCCTTTTGTGAATCTGAAGACAGCAACTATTCATATTTAGTCTTATGTCATCTTTTCCAACATACTTTCTCAAAGATCCATAAGAAAGGCTTTGGGGTCATAAACTAAAGCACTTTAAGTATACTGGAATGGAACTCATCTGAGTCTAAACATCTTTTAACCCCTTTAAGGCAGCTTGGTGATTTCTACCACTGCACCTATCTTAGCTCTTTTATTTTTAATTTTTCCCAGGCTTTTTATTTTGTATTGTGATAGAGCCAATTAACAATTATCTCGGCTTTAATTTCTCTTACAGCTATTTTCTTTATTCTTTACAGCTTGAGGATTTTTTTTTTTTTTTTAATAGAGAAAATCCTAGCAAAATAGACACTGGGTATTTCTGTTTTCTTTCAGTTGTCTGATCACATCATATCATTTGGTCTCAAGCAATGGGATTCTTTTTCTTTTTCTTCTAGCTTTTAATACTGAGCATTAAAATACCCCCTCCCCTAACAAAAAATAAAAGCCCCTTTTGTTCTTAAACCCGACTGTATTCCTGAATCTCCCCTTTCATGTCTGTGGCCCTTTTTTGTATTTTCCTTTGTTATGAGTTACTCCTCCAAACCCCTGCCCTTTAACATCCTGATTTTATTGGGCATTGACTTGTCTGAGTGCATCTCTTTCCTTCCACATTCACATCACTAGGGTTTGCAGGTCAGAATCTGGATCTATGTACTTCCCAACTCCTCTGAAACCATACTCTTTTTAATAGACTTTACTATGAAATTATGTGTGTTTTAAAAAGACAATCTTCTCCCCCCCCCCAATTTAAAGATTAATCCTTGCTTTTAAGAAAAGGTTTAGTAGCTTAAAGAAAGCACATTATAGCAGAGACTTCTGACTCTCTGAATATCCATCCTTCCTTCTGCTTGAGATACTATTGTTACCCGGGCTGCCCAGAATCAACCCTACATCTCCTAATCTCCCTTGCATGTGGATGTGACCTTGTGATTATCTTTTAGACAGTGGAATGTGAGCAGAAGGGATATGTACCATTTTGTGGATTTTTGTTCTTAAACCTTCTGTTACTCCTTTTTCCTGATTTTGCTGGCCAGAATGAAATTGCAGCTGATTTGGTGGTGAGCATTCTTCAACTCGGCTCAGCTGTAAAGAATCTACCTGCAACGCAGGAGACACAGGAGATATGGGTTCGATCCCTGGATTAGGAAGATCCCCTGGAGGAGGGCATGGCATCCCACTCCAGTATTCTTGCCTGGAGAACCCCATGAACAGAGGAATCAGGGGGGCTACAGTTCATAGGGTCGCCAAGAGTCAGGCACGACTGAAGTGATTTTTTTTTTAACTATGTGCAACCAGGGCAACATCCTAGATATGGTCTTCCATCCAGATCTCAGGC